AGACACACTTCTTAACTGTCCTTTCATCGTGGTGATAGAGAGAAGAGCATGCGACTTTCTCTCTTATAAGACCACAGTCGCTATTAAGGCCACCCTACGACCTATTAACCTATACCCTAAAATGCTCTCCTGATATCACAAAGAATTGAGTTCACAAATGAAATTTTGGGAGACCAATTCAGTAGAGACTAATATGGTTATAAAAATGCAATATTAGTTAAAAAATCCAATTAATAAACCAAACATGAAAGAAAACATAAATCTCATATTGCAAAATCTGACAAAATTTAAGTCTATTTCTTATAATTTCCAGTTAATAGCATAGAAGAAATCCTCCTATAAACAAGAAAGGGCACAGTGAAAAAAACGTATTATCATCATGATTAATACTTAATATAAAAGATAACGTCCCAAGATCAGAAATAAGGCAGAATGAATTCCCGCACCATGTACATGTTGTTCTAGCAAGAAAAGAATAAAAGCATCAGATCCAGAAGTAATTAGTAAAAATGCATTAAACATATAACTATGGACATTTCATGAAGAATTTTTTTAATAAATTGAATGATTTAGAAAGGCTAGTAATGAGATCAATATACAAAAATTTATTGATTTTTTTTAATTCGGCATATTATGGGGGTACAGATTTTAGGTTCATAATTGCCCATTTCCCCCCCTCCCCCACAAGCTGAGCTTCACATGACCATCCCAATGGTGCAATCTACATTTTATGTATTATCCGCCCCCACCGCCAAGTACCCATTACTGTAACTATGGGACCCCTTAGGTGTTTAAGTTAACCAATTTGCTGGTGAGTATATGTGTGCTGTTTTTCCATTCCTTGAAATCAGCTTAGTATGTATGGGTTCCAGCTCTAACCAGGAAAATATAGATTGCTCATTCCACCATGTGTTTCTTAGAGCTGAATAGTAAGTACTCCATGTTATACATATAACCACATTTTATTAATCCATTCTGGATTGATGGCACTTGGCTGTTCCAGAGCTTGCATTATGAATTGTGCTGCTATAAACATTCGAGTGCAGGTGCTTTGTAGAGTCATTGTGATCCTTGGGTAATGCCCAGCAATGGATTGCTGGATCAAGATGGTAGATCTCATGTATCGCCTTTAGTATCTCCATATGCTTTCCCAGATTGAACTAGGTTGCAGTCCCACCAGAGTGAGAGTTCCTCTCTCTCCGCATCCACGCAGCATTTATTGTTTGGAGACTTTTTGAATAAGCCATCTCACTGGAGTTAAGGATATTCATTGTGATTTATTTGCATTCCCTGATGATTAGAGATGTGGAGCATTTTTTCATATGTTTGTTGCGTCTCTTCGTTCTTTAGAAAAAGTCTGTCAAGTCTCTTGCCCTTTTTAATACGGGTTATTTGATTTTTTCTCCTGATTTTATGAGTTAAGTATATTCTATTCAGTCCCTTATCGATGCATAGATGCAAAATTTTCTCCCATTCTGTAGGTTTGTCTGTTTACTTCATGACTATTCTTGCTTGCAGAAGCTTTGTAGTTTGTCATGTCCATTTATTTTTTGTTGCTGTTGCATTCCTTTGGGGAATTCTCATTAAAAACTCTTTGCCAAATAGCCGATAATGATCTCATAAGAGGATTTCCTATGTTAGTCTCGTAGAGCTTCTTCGTTCATATTAGGTAGAGTCTATATCCAGCGTAGTGATTTGTGGAGGTAATGGGTGATATGGGCTTTAGCTTGACAGGTTGGCTATCATTTCACCAGCACCATTATGAAAAGGATCTCGTTCGTCAGTAGTTTTGTCTATGTCAAGGATTAGAGTGGCGGTATGATGGAGGGATTGGTAATCGGATGGGTGCACTCTGTGCACTGGGCATGTTATCATTTTTGCATTATGCCAGTTGATGATAATTAATTACTACCAGCGTGTGTGAAGTGGTAAATAGTGTGATATGGCATATTAACTGACTCGCATTTTGTTGAGTATGGGTGCTTGTGAGGAGTGGCTTTGGAGATATCGGTCTCGTTTGGGTTCCAGAGGGAAGCGTATAAATATTATTTTCTCGTATAGCTGATATTGGTAGTTTTTGGTCTTGTGTCTGGTGTGTTGATGATGGATTTAATAAAGGATAATTGCTCGTTTGAATTGTAGATCATTTGGTAGTATATTATTTCAGTTGTGATGTGATGTGTGAGATTGATCGGTTTGATCACGACTGATAGGTAATGGAATCTTTGTCCATTCTGGTTTGTACACGCTTCTTCTTCTCATGTTTGCATTAGTTCCTTCTGTAGAGGTCTGCTTTGTAGTTCTTCTTTTGAGTTATTGTGTTTTGCTAGGTATTCTAGGTATCTTATTCTGTTGCTTAGTGAAAGGAATTGATCTTTGATGGCCATAGATTGTGCATATATGAATGGAGATGTGGTGCTTCTATCTTCTTATCGATTTATGTAGTTTGTATCCTGAGACTTGGGGATTGACGTAAATGTCACAACAGTTCCAGGAGTCTTGTGAATTTTGGTGTTCTAAGATGTTGATGATTTTTTGTTTAAGGGTTAATATATAATTGTCCAGTTTTGCATTATATGAAACAGTGAAGTTATTGGATCCTTCTTCCCCCGATTTGGATACCTAGGAGTGATCATAAGTTCTTCTGCATTGAGTATTTCCTTTTAAAGGGTGTTGAATTTTGTCAAAAGCTTTTTCTGCATCTATTGAAAGAATCATGTGGTCTTTGTTTTTGCTTCTGTTTATGTGGTGAATTGCATTTATAGATTTACGTATGTTGAACCATCCCTGCATCCCTGGCATGAAGCCCACTTGGTCGTGATGGATTATTTTTTTTTGATAAGCGTCTGGATTCGGTTAGCTAAGATTTTGTTGAAAATTTTTGCATCTATATTCATTAGAAATGTATTGTATTTTTATACATTAGTAATTGAAATGTTAAAACAATAGCATTTAGAGTATCATAAAAAACATAAATATTTAGGCATAAATATGACAAGAAATGTAGATCTGTATACTGAAAACTATAAAATACTGCTAAGATAAATTAAATAAAAAAATAAATGGAGTTATATACTGTGTTCATGTATCAGAAGACTCAATATCTCAATGTGTCGATTTTCTCCAAATTCATCTGTATATTCAGAATTATAAGAACAAAATACCAGCAAAGTTTTTTGTAAAAATTGATAAGCTTATTCTAAAACACATTTGGAAATGCAAAGAACCTAGCACAGCTAAAACACCTTTGAAAAGTAAGAATAATATTAGAGAACTTAAATTACCTGGCTTGAAGACTTAGCACAAAGCTAGAGTAGTAAAAGCAAAATGATATTGGGCTCAAGACAAACAAACAGATGTTTGAAACAGAATGTAGAGTCCAGACATAGACCCAAATATATATAGTCAACTAAGTCTTTAAAATACTTTCTTATTGAAATAAAATTAACAGAACATAAAATCTACCATTTTAACTATTTTAAAGTGTACAATTAAGTGATTTTAGTATAGTTACAATATTTGGCAACCATTACCATTATCTGATTACAGAATATTTCTATAATCAGAAAGAAATCTCATCCCTTCCAATTTCCCCCATCCCAGCCTCTGGCAGCCAATAATCTACTTTCTATTTCTATGAATATGCCTATTATGGATATTTCATATTAATGGAATCAAATCATACTCAACAAAACCAAAAGTTGGTTGTTTGAAAAGATGAATAAAATTGACAAACCTTTAGCTAGAGAAATGAAAAATAGAAGACAAATTACTAAAGTCAGAAATGAAAGCAGATCATTAGATAGCACTAATGACCTTAGAGAGAAATAAAAGGATTGCAAAGAGAATTGCAAAAGAGAATCCTAGGAACAACTGTATACCTACAAATTAGATAACCTAGATGAAAAAAACAAATTCCTAGAAATAAACAAACTACCAAAACTTACTCAAGAGGAAACAGAAAGTCTGAATATCCCTATAAGGAATAAAGAGATTGAATTAATAAAAAAATTTCCCACAAAGAGAGGCGAGGGTGGGAGGATTGCTTAAGGCCAGGAGTTAGAGGTTGCAATGCCCTATGATGGCAACTATCTCACTCCAACCTGGGAAAATAGCAAGACCCCACACCTAAAAATGCTTTTAAAAAAGAAAAATTTCTCACAAAGAAAAACCCAGAACTCGGCCGGGCGCGGTGGCTCACGCCTGTAATCCTAGCTCTCTGGGAGGCCGAGGCAGGCGGATTGCTCGAGGTCAGGAGTTCGAAACCAGCCTGAGCAAGAGCGAGACCCTGTCTCTACTATAAATAGAAATTAATTGGCCAACTAATATATATATACAAAAAATTAGCCGGGCATGGTGGCGAATGCCTGTAGTCCCCTCAGGAGGCTGAGACAGGAGGATCACTAGAGCCCAGGAGTTTGAGGTTGCAATGAGCTATGATGATGACACTGCACTCTAGACCAGGTGACATAACAAGACTCCCTCTCAAAACAAAACAAAAAGAACATATATTGGGGAAAGGACACTTTCTTCAATAAAAAGAATATTATAAAAAATTATGCTGATAAATTCTATAACTTCAATAAAATAGAAAAACTGTTTATTTCCTTGAAAGAAACAATTACCAAAGCTCATCCAAACAGAACATGAGCAGCCCTACATCTACTAAAGAAATTGAATCTGTACTTTAAAACATTTCCACACAAAAAAACTCCAGGCCCAATGAAGATGGCTTCCAAATTTAAAGAATACCAATTCTATACAAACTTTAGCAAACTCTGGAGGAGGAAATGCTTCCAAATATCTTCCATGAGACCAGTATCATCTCATAACAAAATCAGACAAAGATATCAGACCAATATTTTTCATAAACAAAGGCAAAATTTCTTAACACAATTTTAACAAATATATAAAAAGGGTAATTCATAATGACTGTCTTAGTCTTCTTGGGCTACCATAATAATATCATCAACTGGGTGGCTTAAACAACAGAAGCTTACTTTCTCAGTTCTGGAGGCTGAAAGTCTGAGATCAGGGTGCCAGCACTGTTGGATTCTGGTGAGGACTTTTTTGCTGGTTTGCAGACAGCCACCTTCTTAACATGTCCTCACATGGTGTAGAGAGAGAGAGCATGCGATCTCTTTCTCTTCTTATAAGACCACAGTCCTATAAGGCCCCACCCTTACGACCTCATTTAACCTTTATTACCTCCTAAAGATGCTCTCCCTGATAGTCACAAAGAGAATTTGAGCTTCAACAAATGAATTTTGGGAGGACACAATTCAGTAAAGACTAAATGGGGTTTATCTCAGAAATGCAATATTAGTTTAAAAAATCCAAGTTAATAAACCTAAAATGAAAAAAACACATAATCATCTCAATATATGCAAAATCTGACAAAATTTAATGTCTATTCCTTATAAAATTTCTCAGTAAACTAGGCATAGAAGGGAACTTCCTCCTATTAATAACAGAAAGGCACAGTGAAAAAACTGTAGTTATCATCATATTAATACTTAATAGTAAAAAGACTCAACGCTTTCCCCCTAAGATCAGAATGAAGGCAAGAATGTCCCGTCACCACTGTACATGTTGTTCTAGCAAGAAAAAGAAATTAAAGGCATCCAGATCAGAAATAATTAGGTAAAAATGTCATTAATCACATATAACCATGATCATTTATGAAGAATTTTTTTTTTTTTGAGACAGCAGTCTGCTTTGCGTCCAGACGCTAAAGTGAGTGCCGCTGGCCAGCCTAAAGCTCACAGCAGCCTCAAACTCCACATCGTGACAATCCGTTTTTGTTGGCCGGAGGGATGGTCCTTGGCTGCGCGCGGAGCCTCGCGAGTAGCTGGGACTACAGGGGCATGCGCCACCTATGACGCTGACTTGTTGTTAGTATACATAGTCGTTGGCCAAGAGATTGTTATCTATTTAAGGTCAGCCAGCACCGCCGGGGTCTTCTGTCCCGTCGTGGCTCAGGCTTGGTTTTCTCAACCTTCCCTGCGCTTGTCCCCCGCTCGGCTCCCAGAGAGCTGGATTCGGCGTGAGCCACCCGCCCAGCAGATTTTTTTTAAACTATTAATATGATGAGTTAGAAAGGCTATAGAATGAGATCAATATACAAAAATTTATTGTATTTGTTTTTTTAATTTCGGCATATTGGGGTACAGATTTTAAGGTTTTCAATAAAATGCCCCATTTCCCCGTCCCCCACCCCACAAGTCTGAGTCTCCATACATGACCCATCCACAGATGGTGCACATCTCCACTCATTATATATGTATACCGTTACCCGCCCCCCCCGCGGGGGGAAAGCCCCCTGGACCTGCCCAATACCGCTATTACTGTAGTACCTATGTGACCACTTAGGTGCTGCCTTCAGTTAATACGCAATCTTGCTGGTGAGTCCTCACTCGTGGGTGGCTTGTTTTTCATTCTTGGAAGCCTACTTCCACTTAGTAGTTATTGGGTTCCAGCTCAACCAGGAAATAAGTGTGCTATTCACCATCTGTTTTCTTAGAGCTGAATAGTAATAGCTCCATGGTATACATATTACGCACATTTTTAATCCATTCTTGGATTGATTGGCACGTTGGGCTGTTTCCAGAGCTCTTGGCAGTTATGAATTGGTGCTGCTTATGAAACAATTCGGTGCAGGTGCTTTGAGAGTGTCATTGGATCTTTGGGTAGATGCCCAGCAATGGGATTGCTGATCGAATGGTAGATTCACTTGTATCGCTTTTAAGGTATCTCCATATTTGCTTTCCCAGAGGTTGCAACTAGTTTTGCAGTCCTACACAGTGTAGGAGTGTTCCTCTCTCTCCGCATCCTTACGCAGGGAGTTGTATTGTTGGAGACCTGTTTTGAATAAAGGCCATTCTCACTGAAGTTAATGATATCTCATTGTGTTTGATTTGCATTTTCCTGTATGATTAGAGATGTTGAGCATTTTTTGCATATGTGGTTGTTGGGCCGTTCTTGCTGCTTCTTTAGAAAAATTTTCTGTTCAAGTCCTTTGCCCACCTTGTGTTAATAGGGCGTTGTATTTGATTTTTTCTCCTGATTTTCGTGAGTTCTAAGTACTATTCATTACAGTCCTTAATCGGAACATGCATAGGGATGCAACAAATTTCTCCCCATTCTGTGTGGTGTGTGGCGTTTACTTTCATACGCAGACTGCCGTTTTGGCTGTGCGGAGCTTGTAGTTTGATCATGTCCCATTTTTTATTTGTGCTGCTGCGATTGCCTTTTGGGGACGGGTGTCTTCATACAACTTTCTTTGGCCTGCCGATGTCTAGGAGAGTGTTTCCAGACTTTTTCCTCTAGAAGGGATCCCCCCCTAATAGTTTCATACCTTAGGTTTAAGTCTGTTATCCACAGCGTTGATTTTTGTGAGAGGTGAAAGGTGTGGGTCCCTGTTTTAGCGCTTCAAACAGGTGCTATCCAGTTATTCCCAGCAGGCATCTCTTGAGGACGGTTCGTTCTGCCAGCGCTCAGATGTTTTTGTCCTGCTTGTCCAAAGATTAGACGGGCTTATATGAGGATGCTGTGTGTTAGGAGGACAACAAAAATTCAGGGGAGTTGCTCACGCGCGGTGTTCGCACTGGTCCCACATATTCCTACTTTTGTGGGCCAACTCCCATATTGATTTAAATTAGCTACAGCTTTGTAGTAAGTTTGAAATATATGCATATTAAACCCGCCTCCCCATTTTTTTTTTTGTTGCCTAGAATGCTTTTGATATTCGGGGTCTTCTTTGGTCCATACGAACCGGTAGAGAGTATTTTATTGCTATATCTTGTGAAGAATGGCTGATGGAATTTTAAACAGGATTGGCATTGAATCTGTAGATCAGTTTGGGTAGTATAGACATTTTGATGATGTTGATCTGCCGATCCACGAGCATAAAAGGATAGGAAAAAAACAAAATGCCAAGAAAAAAAAAGGTATATTAAATGCCATCTGTAGTTAGGAGTATACACTGCCTATTTCTAACGGTCATAGATCAGAGGTCTCACAAACCTGTAGAGGATCTTTTACCTCTTGGTTTAGAGTACTACCTCCCTCTCCGGTACTATTAATTTCTTTTTCGCTATTGTGAAGGGAATTGAGTCTTGATTTGGTTCTCAATTAGATTCGGTGTGAGCGCGGTATATGAATGCCTCTGATTTCTGTGTACTGACATTTGTGTATCCTGAGACTTTACTAAATTCACTAATCAGTTCCAGGAGTTTCTTGGTTGAATCTTTGGGTTCTAAGATATAACATCATCATCATCAGCAACACAGTGAAAGTATTGATCTCTTCTGGCCCGCCTACTTTGGATACCTTTTGATTCGCATTGTTCTGTCTGATGTTGGCTGGTACCAGAGGACTTCCAGGTCACAGTGGAGTGGTTGAATAGAAGTGGAGATAGTGGGCAGCCTTGTCTGGTTCCAGTTAAGTGGATCGCCAGGCCGGAGTTTCAATGTTTTCCCATTCGAGGAGAGTGTCTGGCCTGATGTCTGTCTACTACTGGCTTGTATCATTTTAGGATGTCCCCTTACTATGCCGTATTGTCTTAAGATGTTCATATATGAAAGGGTGGTTGAAAATTTTGTCCAAAGGCTTTTTCTGCATTCTATTGAGAAGAGTCATGGGTCTTTATTTTTGCTTCTGGTTGTTATGTGGTGAAAGTTACATTTGAGTGAATTTACCGTATGTTGACACATCCCCTGCATCCCTGGGATGAACACCAATCAAGCGGCGGTCGTCACCAGCATGCGCGGAAGGGGAAAGCGGTGGGAAAAACCCTGGCCGGCGTGCGCCATCGGCTCCGGCGGGGGGGCCGCGCATTCCCAAAAACTTGGTCGTGATGGGATTAATTTTTGAAGCGGCTGGATTCCGGTTTAGCTAAGGATTTTGTTTGAAAATTTTGCCTTATATTCAATAGAAATTATATGTGTATTTTATGCATTAGGTAAATTGAAATGTTAAAACAATAGCAATTTAGAAGTATCATAAAAAACATAATTGGTAGGCATAAATATGACCAAGAATGTAGATCTGTATACTGAAACTATAAAATATGCAAATAATTAAATAAAATAAATCCTGGAGTTATACACTGTGTTCATGTATCAGGAAGAACTCATATCTCGAATGTGCGATCTTTCTCCAAATTCATCTGTATATCCCAGATATATAAGGAACAATACCGCAAGTTTTTTGTAAAATTGGATTAAAGGCTTATATCGTAAAACACATTTGGAAATGCAAAGAACCTAGCACAGCTAACACCTTGATAAAGTAGAATAATATAGAGAATTAATTACCTGCGTTGAAGACTTAGCACAAAGGCTAGGTAGTCAAAGCAAAAATTGGGATATTGCGGCTCGAAGACAACAACAGATGGGTTTGAACAGAATGTAAGGTTCCAGACATAGACCCAAATATATAGTAGTGCAACTTAAGTCTTTAATAGCTTGTTCTATTGAATAAAATTAAAGAACATAAATCATTAGCCATTTGTAAGCTTTATTGTAAAGTGGTACAATTAAGTGTTAGTATAGTGTACAATATTTTGCAACCATTACCATTATCTTGTATTACAGGAATATTTCTGTAATGCAGAAAGAATCTATCCCTTCCAATTTGTCCCGCCATCCCAGCCTCGGCAAGCCGAATAATCGATCCTCTATTTCTATGAATATGGGCTATTATGGATATTTCATATTAAAGGAATCAGAAATCATACTCCAACAAACCGAAAATTGCGTTGTTGAAAGAGAATAAATTGACAAACTTAGCTAGAGAAATGAAAATAGAAGACAAATTAACTTAAAGTCAGAAATGAAAAGATCATTAGATACGCACTAATGACCTTAGAGGAGAAAAAGGAGGATTGCAAAGAATTGCAAAAGGAACTCCTAGGAACAGACTCGTATGCCTACAAATTGATAACCTAGATGAAAAAACAAATTCCTAGAAATAACAAACTAACCAAATTACTTCAAGAGAAAACAGAAAAGTTGAAATCCCTATAAGGAATAGAGAGATTGAATTAATAAAACAATTTCCCACAAAGAGAGCCTGAGGGGTGGGAAGATTGCTTAAGGCCAGGAGTTAGAGGTTGCAATGCCTATGATGGCAACTATCTCACTCCAACCTGGGGAAAATTACGAGACCCCACCACTAAAATTTTTTAAAAAAGAAAATTTCCACAAAAACCCCAGAACTCGGCCGGCTTGCGGGTGGTGCACGCCTATAATCCTAGCTCTCTGGGAGGCGGAAGGCAGGCATTGCTCGGACAGGTCAGGCAGGTTCGAACCAGCTTGAGCAAGGAGCGAGACCCTGTCTTACTATATAGAAATTTGGCCAACTAATATATATACAAAATTAGCGCGGCATCGGTGCGAATGCTGTTGTCGCCAGCTACTTGGGAGGCTGAGGCAGGAGAATTGCCGTTGAGCAGAGTTGAAAGGTTGCCTTGTGAGCTAGGCTGACGCCACGGCACTCACTCTAGCATGGGCAACAAAGCGAGACTCTGTCTCAAAAAAAACCCAGAACTGGATGGCTTCACTGGCAAATTCTACCAAACATTTATAAAAAGAATTAACAGCAATCCTTCTCAAACTCCTCCAAAACACAGAAGAGGAGGGAATACTTCCCAACTCATTTTATGAGGCCAATTTTACCTCATGTATAA